TTCCTATCTTGACCCCCCCCCCCTAGTAATATAAAAATCTATATCATAGTTCATTGATTCAAGCTTTATTCATTAGTTTATTTTGGAAAGATGAATGCTGCTAATCAGTAACTAAAGGTCTCATTATTGTGTTCTATTACTTTATATACTAATGGTTGATCCTCGATTGCTTCGATATTCAGACTTATCTCCCGGACAAGAACCGCTCAGTTGGAACACGAGGATGAAGATCGCCCTCGGTGCCGCTCAAGGGCTCGCATACTTACATGATGTGGCGAACCCACCCGTTATTTACCGCGACCTGAAATCAGCAAACATATTATTGGATGACGACTTCAACCCGAAACTTTCGGATTTCGGTCTCGCAAAGCTCGCTCCTGTTGGTGATAGAACACACGTCTCGACGAGGGTGATGGGAACCTATGGTTATTGTGCTCCCGACTACGCGATGAGCGGAAAGCTTACTGTGAAGTCGGACATATATAGCTTCGGCGTGGTGCTCTTGGAGCTCCTCACAGGGAGGAAAGCATATGACATCACCAGGAAAGGTGGGGAGGAGAATTTGATCACTTGGGTATGTTTTTCCTTATTCAACTTCAATTAGTTTAGGAAGATTTACATACCTACCATACCACTCGGTTCCTTTATTTTTACATATATATATATATATATATCGATGATGATCTCACCGTCGAACTCTTCAACAAAGCCTGCGGCTTTACTGGAGACTTAGTCATGAACTATATAAAAAGGGGTTGTTACATATCTCCCCTCTATATTTTGTTTTTTTACATTTATACCATCAAATGTTTCATATCACATCCAATATATCACTATTTTAAGCTTTAAAAAATAAAAATATGGCTTTTTTAATGCATAGGTGAAATGATATGTACGTAAAAATTAAATTATAGGTGTTAAATAGGTAAATAGATAAGAACTTAGTGGTATGTATGTAAATATTGCAAAAATTTTGAATTATTTTGTAAATCAAATAAAATATAAGATAATGCCCATTTGTGGACGATTGCTCGCGGCTAATCCTAATGATTTCCTTCATTTAAAAGCTTGTTTAAGCTAAAAGAAAATTTATTTATTAAAAAAATAGATATTTACATACATACCACTCCTTTCCTATGTATTTGCATATCTAACACCAAAACGTAAAATTTTATTTATATATGTCACTTTACTTGTGCATGAAAATATGTATTTTCACTTATTAAAAGTCTAAATAATGATGTTTGTTTTTTAAATGTGATATGAATATTTTAGTGGTATAAATATAAAAAGTAAAGATTAGGTGTTAGATATATAAATATATAGAATTAGGAGGCATGCTTGATAATATGGCTGAAAAAGGAAAGAGTATTTTGGTAGTTTTGAGTAGGCAATCAACTACTTGCACTACTACATAAATAGTAAATTAGGATATGTTTGAGATAGCTGTAACTTTTTAAAAATATGATTGTAAAGCTGTCTTAAATCACGCTTTAACAAGCTGTCAACTTTTAAGAAAACAATTCCCCAAATAAAGCTGTGGGGGCGATCTGAACCCCAAAGCAACAATAAAGTTATCCCAAACAGACCGGGCAGCTGTAGCTTATTAAAAAAAAAACTGTGAAGCTGCTAAAAAATAATATGTTGTACAAAAAGTTGCGATGGCTATCACAATAATTTTTTTTAAACACAGATTTCAGCTGCAGTTTTTTTGAAAAAACTGGCAAAATACAGTTTACCCAATAGATAAAACTGCAATGCGGTGCGGTGCAGCATCGCCACTTCACCGCCGCCCCAATGAGACACTTAATCGGTACAACTTTGGGATGTATAGAAATTAATTTTCTATGTGAAGTTAGAGACTTGTAGTTAGGGGTGTAAACGAGCCGAACACGAGCGAGTCATGCTCAGCTTGTGCTCGGCTCGTTTATATTTCGAGCTCAAAAAGTGTGTTCGTGTTCGGCCCCGTTTCTTAACGAGCCCCGAGCTGTTCACGAACAAATAGTCATTTTAACAACTCTAATCATGTAGCTATGTAGGTAAATAGATAAGAACTTAGTGGTATGTATGTAAATATTGCAAAAATTTTGAATTATTTTGTAAATCAAATAAAATATAAGATAATGCCCATTTGTGGACGATTGCTCGCGGCTAATCCTAATGATTTCCTTCATTTAAAAGCTTGTTTAAGCTAAAAGAAAATTTATTTATTAAAAAAATAGATATTTACATACATACCACTCCTTTCCTATGTATTTGCATATCTAACACCAAAACGTAAAATTTTATTTATATATGTCACTTTACTTGTGCATGAAAATATGTATTTTCACTTATTAAAAGTCTAAATAATGATGTTTGTTTTTTAAATGTGATATGAATATTTTAGTGGTATAAATATAAAAAGTAAAGATTAGGTGTTAGATATATAAATATATAGAATTAGGAGGCATGCTTGATAATATGGCTGAAAAAGGAAAGAGTATTTTGGTAGTTTTGAGTAGGCAATCAACTACTTGCACTACTACATAAATAGTAAATTAGGATATGTTTGAGATAGCTGTAACTTTTTAAAAATATGATTGTAAAGCTGTCTTAAATCACGCTTTAACAATCTGTCAACTTTTAAGAAAACAATTCCCCAAATAAAGCTGTGGGGGCGATCTAAACCCCAAAACAACAAGAAAGTTATCCCAAACAGACCGGGCAGCTGTAGTTTATTAAAAAAAAACTGTGAAGTTGCTAAAAAATAATATGTTGTACCAAAAGTTACGATGGCTATCACAATATTTTTTTTAAACACAGATTTCAGCAACTAGCCAGAACTGATGGGAAAACACAGATTTCGGCTACAATTTAAAAAAAAAAACTGACAAAATACAATTTACCCAATAGATAAAACTGGAATGTGATGCGGTGCCGCATCGCCACTTCACTGCCGCCCCAACGAGACACTTAATCGATAAAACTTTGGGATGTATAGAAATTAATTTTCTAAGTGAAGTTAGAGACTTGTAGTCCACTTTTTATTTTTTTAATTAATAAATCTACTTGAGATGAGTTTGACATAAATATGTATTAAATAGTTATGCATTATTAAAAACCTCATATAAAAAATAAATTTTATGAGAATATTTTGACCAATTATTACCCATCAAAGTTTATGAGAAGAGATCAAATAGAAGAGACAAAGTCATAAATATTTCTATATACCCTCTCCCACACTCTTCCAATAATACATCAACACATCAAGAAGGGACATTTACATATTTACCAAACAATTCTTATGTATTTACATATCCAACACCAACATGCATTTAACATTAAATTTTAAAAAAAAAAGCCATTTGGGCTATATTTTTAAAAGCTAGACATGAAAATATATAAGAGTTGTGAGATCTGTATGTAAATTTCCTATATACATACATATTTACCAAACAATTCTTATGTATTTACATATCCAATACCAACATGCATTTAACATTAAATTAAAAAAAAAATGCCAACATACATACATAGAAATTGGTTGGTATGAATGTAACTTGTAAGTGCCCCTTTAAAAGCCCAAATCTAATCTAACATGAAATGAGACTTTGATCTTCCAATCTTTTATTGTTCAAATAAAATCATGGCTAATTTTGATCTTTTATAAACTCTTCGCCCCATTAAAGTGTCAAAATAGTCATCTACTATTTACATGAGGCCATTTTATAATCATAGTTTATAAGTGTCAAAATATTTTCAGACGCCTTAAATTGGGTTTGAAATAGTTTCATGGAAGACCATTAGAGCACAATTTTAAAATAATCATGGACTATTTTGTAATTTTTATAAATTCTGATACTAAATTTCTCCCATATAAGTAGTCAGTGCACATCAAGAATGTGTTAGCACGAATCCTGAGGAAATCCAAAAATCTAGAAGGAAGGAATTATTGCAAAGGAGAGCTTACCGACAAGAGATCATGAGACATGCTTATCCAATTAGATGAAACATCTAAGCATGAATGAGGTCCAACCAAGCCATTAGAACGATAATATGAAGGATCTGAGGCTGAACCAATCAAACTATAGCAAGACATGCAAACACTCAAGCTAATTATCATCGAAAAGCCGAGCGAATGTATCAACCTATCCCTCGATAGATGGAACATGAGGAAAGAATCCAATTATTCTACATCATTAGCCGTCTTACAAACACCCCCAAGATTCCTCATCAAGGACCAAGATTTGATAGTACAATAGAACTCCACAATCATCCCGAAGTACTTCCTTGTCAAGAAAATGAAGCATCTATCAGATTATGATGATTCACATTATGCTCAATATTCTAATCTCATTCTACTGGCAGAAGTTCCTCATTTGGAATCAACTGATCAGCAAACTCTAGCTAACCGACTCAGTCTTGTAGACCTGAAGCTAATCAAGACCAACCTATCAGCTGCACCAACTCAGCCTAGCTGACCGAACTAGCCTTAACCGAGCTAATTCATAGGGCAACCAAACAATAAACTCATACATGTAAAATACCAAAAATAACCTATACAACTTCTATTAAAGTAGGTGCAAAAATATAATATCATATATTGTACATTCTCTCTCTTAAATAGAGATCAATTTACGAAAATATATTATTACACAAGACGTTTTACTATTCATTACTACTTATTTCTTTGTGTTCTTTCTTACGCTATAACTCTCGGGGTGTGACTTACAGACAAATTAGGATTCAGGAGTGTGGGGCTATTTTACACATTAGTTAATAATTAAGGGGTTATTTGGCAATTTAATCAACAAAAAAAAAATAGGACTAGTAGCTAATACTTGGATTAGAAGCCAACTAGCCACAATGGGAAACCTTGAGTTAAGTTTACCAAAGCTAAGCAGACTTTCTGGATCCCTGACTTTGGACCAGATCAGAGCAGATTGATTCTAGCTTTATATAGCGACAACATCTCTCTGCTTCTGTGTCTCCCTCTCTTCTCTCTTACCAATTCTTTCGAGCTCTGTCGTACCTCCAACCATGATTGTTTCCGTAAAGTCTTCTTAGAGATCGGAAGGAAGAGTCGGACAGAGGAAGGGGAGTAAACCATTCAGCAGAAAAGATAAAGAAGAAGAAGAAGAAGCTTCTTAGTTGTTGAACGATGGGAAATACTTGCAGCTATGCTAATAAAGTTGTCAGCCCAGTAAGCATCGTTTCAGGTATATGAAACTTTCTTGTTCTTATGTTCAGGGAATTATTTGCGGATTTTTTGCTTGATTTTGGAAATTTATTTTCTGCTATTCCGTCTGGGTTTTATATTTCTCATTTTGAAAAACCCTAAGTTTGATTAGTTTTTGATGTTTAGCTTGGATTGCTTCATTTAATTCAGTAGTTATGATCTTGTGTTGCCGTCTTCTTTTTTATTGTATCCAATATTAGGAGTTTAGGGCACTTTGAGTTTACTATGTTCTTAATTAATGTAACTTTGTTCATCCTATTATTCAGAAATGGGGTTTTAAGCAAATTTTGGTTGTTTGAGTTGGTATTAGGGTTTTTTATCATATTTCTCTTCCGCACTAAAACATTTCAGTCATTTTATGGTTAATTTTTGTGCTTTTACTGTTAGTTTTTGTTCTGATTTAATTGCTACAAGTATTTAATGCTTGAAAACTTTTGAGGCGATCGAAGTCAGGTAGACTTCATTTATGTTGCAGTAGTTTAGAGGAGACTGAAAATGATGATAAATGAAATAGTTGTGGCCTGAAGAACAATAATAATTATGATTTTGAGGATGATGAAATGAATTAAAGCTGAAAATTTTGAGATCAGAATATCTTGACTCGAATTTGATTAAAACGAGCTTCATAATAAGTATATTATACTCATCTTAAAATAAATTAATCCTGGTCGAATTTAGATCCTATTATGCGGACTCAAATTGTCTTCTTTTCTTTCAAATTTATGCAAGAGTAAAGTGCTTGCATACAAAATTATATTTTTGCATGTGATTTATTTTCTTTATACATCTGATGCAAGGTACATACAACTAAATTTGGTTGTTTGTAATTTGCATGTTTTTCACCTTACAAAATTCTTGTCCTAAGAACCGATCGATCACAAAAAAATTAAGATTCACTGCTTTCTCTTTTACTTTACACCTACTTTGTGCTGTTGATCTTTATTAGTTTATTGCATGTTAAATGAATATTGATATCTGTAGTTATTACATGGATTTTATTCTAGAATTTGGAATGAAAGATATAAGCTAGTTAATAAAATTTTAAAATATAATCCTTTTCCAATAACTAATTTAATTTGAAAGCTCAAAATGATACATGCAAAGTTTACCTTTTTAGGAATATTGTACATAAAATACATATACTTTCTTTCGAAGTTTGAAATATGACTTTCTTCGTATAAAAGTATTTTTGAATAATTCATTCATACCATGTATTATAAGGGGATAATATATAGCTGTTAATTTAGTTATAATTTTTGAACAAAATCTCAGTACCATCAACAACAACTAAAGCAAGTAACAGCACAGCCACTACTGGGAAGGTTTCAACATTCAGCAGCAGCACATTAGAGCCGTCCACATGTGGTTCAGCAAGCACAGATGAAACATTTACGGATGGACAGATTTTGGAGACTCCTAACGTACGAATGTTTACTTTAGCGGAGTTGAAGAATGCTACGAAGAATTTTAAAGCGGAGTATGTTCTCGGAGAAGGAGGATTTGGAAAGGTTTTTAAGGGATGGGTCGATGAGAAGACTCTGGGTCCGGCAAAAAGTGGGGCAAGGATGGTTGTTGCTGTAAAGAAACTCAACCCCGAAAGTATGCAAGGTTTTGAGGAGTGGCAAGTGAGTGACCCTTTGAATCTTCTCTGGGTTTGAAGATAGAAATCATATTTTGAAAAAGGGAAATTGACATATAAACCACACAATTCTTATGCATTTACCTATTTAACACCTAAAGTTTAATATTTATGTTTATAACACCATGATATCAACAACATATGCATAAAAAGGTGTGTTCAACTTTGAAATAGTTAGTGATTGAGGTATTTTTGATGTGATGTCAAAGATTTGAGTGTTATGTATGTAAATACAAAACTTTAGATGTTATATATGTAAATATATAAGGATTGTGTGGTATATATGTTAATACCCCTTTGGAAAAATGAAGTTTGAAAAATTTTGTCTAATAGTTTTTTTTTCTGGATATAATTCTGTAGCAAATAATTTGTTTCTATGGTTCATAATGCATGTTCAGTATTCCGTTTTTCATGGCTAGTTTCTGACAGCTTTCTTTTCTTTGCAGTCAGAAATTAATTTTATGGGAAGGCTTTCTCATCCTAATCTTGTCAAGTTGTTTGGCTATTGCTTGGAGGAAAGAGATCTGCTCCTTGTTTATGAGTTCATGTCAAAAGGAAGCCTTGAAAACCACCTTTTCAGAAGTAAGTATCAATAATCATCGAATTGTAATATATCTCTATATGATTCGAATGAAAGCATTCACATTTACTAGTTCAAGTTTCTACTTGATGATTGGAAAATACTATTATGTACACCAATAATTGTGTGGGTTAAGTGCACCAAGTTTAAAATGGATCACGTTCAGACACTTCTCTCAGCTACCAAACTTGAACCCTAGAAGGTGCACCATTTGAGGAATATTTGTCTGTAGTACATACTTAAAGTTTGCTCTTATTCTTCCTAAACTAGGGGTGTCGATGAATGACAGACGTGGAAAATCTTGGTTCAAATTGATCTCATCAACTTTTGGGTTGAGTTGGCTCTAGAATTTTGACATAATTAATTTTTGGTTGAGTTTGAGTTGACCAAAAAATTTGAATTTGACTTGAATTTAACTTAAAATTGACTTCAAAACCTAATGTTTTCTTGAAAAATTAAATTTAATCTGAGCATGATAAAAAGAAATACACTTTCATATGTAAAATGGCTATCATACCTTATCTTAAATGAGTTGATTGGGATTTGTTCGAGTCAATTGAATTGAATGCAAGTTGACTTTGGGTCGACCATTTGATAAACAGGTTAGGATTGGGACATGTAGGTTTAGGCCAGATCAAATTTGGGTCAAACCTGAACGTGAACCCCGTTAACCCAAATTGACATAACTATCCCTAAGCAATTATCACCTAGCATGCACAATAATTGTGATGATTACTCAACCACTAAAGGATTAATTTTAACATGCAACGGCCTTCATGGTGGTTCAAATCCCATATAACCATCATATTACTCCTAATTTCCCCCTCTTTTAACTAGGAAGTGTCAGGCTAGGAATTAGCAGGGATGAGGGGAGAGATACGAAGCGTTTCTCCATGAATCCTGAAACTTACTTCTTTCTTTCTTTTATATTTATATATTTTATTATTGAATTAATTTTTTTTCTCTGTTAATAGTAAAGGGGTTCAACTAGGTTCCCTATAATAGCTAATTTTCAAGCTATAGAACCCCGATTCTCTTGTTTTCTTTTAGTCTCATTTTGGTTTCAAGTAAGGCTCGACTTGCTTTATCTAACACATATAATAATGCATATTATTTAGATTAATAAAATTTCCATATGTTCATTTTAAATCATCAACTCAATGTATGTTTTGGCAGGAGGATCAGCTTTCGATCCCCTTTCATGGAGTCTAAGGCTAAAGATAGCTATTGGTGCCGCTCGCGGTCTTGCATTCCTACATTCTTCAGAGAAACGTGTTATTTATCGTGATTTCAAGGCTTCAAATATTCTCCTTGATGCGGTACTGATTTATATGCATAAAGATTTTTTTTTTTTTTGAGGTTATTATTATTGTTATTATTTTTGGGTTCAAAGTTCATTTATTTTGATCTTCTTATGTAGAATTACAATGCAAAACTTTCTGACTTTGGGCTTGCTAAGGATGGGCCAGTGGGCAGTAACTCACATGTTACTACAAGGGTTCTGGGCACATGTGGATATGCAGCTCCTGAGTATGTTGCGACAGGTATTTTACATATTTTAATTTCATGCTCATGAATCTATGCTTGTTTCTTGAGAAACCGAGTGAAACCAATTTGAAAAAGAAGAGAAGAAAGTTCAAGAGCAAATATTTTTTTTATATAGGAAAATGGCATAGAGTTTTGAGTCTCCACACGCTATTGAGTGTTAGACCAGTCTGAATTTTGGATTACATTAATATATTTTATAATTAAATATGTAAGCGGTTGGTTTGTGAAATCATATCCTTATGTTTATGACAATGATGATGCCGAGCAGAGACCAATATGACTGAGAAATTCAAAAGTTTGCATTTTTCTTCTACTAGTTACATTTGATGCAAAATGTGAGGCTAAACAATGCACACCATCATCTAGCTTGAACTGAAGTGGTTATTGTTTGATTAATGTCTTTTGAAAAACTTATTATTCATGAAAGCAAAATCTATTATCCTTTCCGAAGGAGAGATGGATATCAAGTCAGTGTGGATGTTGACTTTTGTTAATTTTATAGGTGTGATGACTATTTATTTTATAAATAAATTGTCTGCCCTTCAATTTAAACGATACTTTACTGTATGGGATTTCATGCTTATATTTTGTGGGCTGCTTTATTTAGCTCTCAGCATTTTTTCCCACCAATATCATTTCTTATGGCACGCACAAAGATAATGCTGAAAATGTATCGACTTAGATTGCAAAAAATATGTCTTAGATGTATAGTTTAGCGCACCATTGTTTCTTCTCTGAAAATCAGCATTTCTTCAAATCTCTCTCTAAACATATATAATTATAAAATGTACTAATTTAGTCCAAAACTCTTTCGTGTGCGTGGAAAATTTACATATGTAGCACACAATTCTTATGTATTTACATATCTATAAACTTTTATATTTACATACATAATACTTTGGGTGATTTAAACCTGTGTGAAGAGGTATATTTCACTTTTAAAGAGGTAATAGTGTTATTTTTGATGTGATATTAAAGATTTTGAGTGTTGTGTGTGTGAATATGAAAGTCTAGCTGTGAGATATGTAGATAAATAAGAATTATGTGCTATGCGTGCAAGCCTTCATTGCCTGGCTAAACGTGGTGCCGCCCTAAGCTTGAATTTTTATGTCATGTGTGATAAGATTTTTTTTATCATGACAGGTCATCTATATGTGAAGAGTGATGTGTTTGGATTTGGAGTTGTTTTGTTAGAGATGCTCTCAGGTCAACGAGCACTCGACACAAATAGACCAAGTGATCAACACAACTTAGTAGATTGGGCGAAACCAATTTTACTCGATCGAAAGAAGTTGGCAAGATTGATGGACCCCAGACTCGAGGGGAAGTATCCCTCAAAAGGAGCTGTCCAAGCAGCTCATCTCACTCTCAGATGTCTCGCGAATGAGCCCAAAAGCCGGCCATCAATGATGGAAGTATTGGAGACTCTGGAAAATATTGAATCCATGAAAGAGAAGTCAAGGGAGACGAAGAATGCCACGTCTCACAATAGGCCTCGTCATCATGGCCAGGCTCCTGTTCACCCTCGTTCGCCGTTCGGAGCAAGGCAAGGACCTGGGGCAGGCTCTCCGGCGGTTAGCCGCTCCCCTAGAGGTAGATAATGTCAATTCATTGCCTGAATTCAGATGAAGTTGTCATTGTAAAGTAGTCGTCATTTATCGTTTTGGCAGCGTAGATCTCTTTATTTGTTGTTAGTTTGCTTTTGCTGCTTTGATGTTCTGTTATCCACGCTGAAATAACATTAACTGAACAACACATTCATTATAAATGGTTGCATTGTGAATTGGAGTCAAATTTGTAGGGTAAGATGGACAATACTTTTATCTAAGGGGCATTTACATGCATACCTACCAGTTCTTATGATTTTTACATATCTAACACCTATGCTTTAAAAAGTGAAATACACATAAGGTGGCGTATATGTAAAAAATTGAGGTTTAGGTTTTTTATATATAAATACATAAGAAACCCACAATCTCACTGTTGGGAGCAGTGATATGAACCATTAGAACCAGTTTCAATTCATATGTGGCTTAAACATCAGCCAATAATACAGTATGAGAAATATTAGGTCAATTCATATGTGGCTTAAACATCAGCCAATAATAGAGTATGAGAAATATTAGGGTAGGTAGTATAATAGGTAACTTTTTGATAATAATGTAATAAAATGCCAAATTTTAATGGATAGATTCATGATTACCAAAGGCTGTCAATTCAATAACCCTAACATTTCGAAGAATAATGCTACACCTAAATAGAACCGTGAAGGCTAGTTTTGAAAGCATATAAATTTTCATGCATTTGCTCAATTGAATTTTCATATGATCTGTATAAATGATTATTATATTTTAATATGGTTTGAGAACCGATTAACTCACTTTTTATGTAGGTTTAGGATTGGAGATGAAACATGCTCTTGCTAACATCTCAATAAGATGTTTCATAGTTCTAACATATATTTTAATTGACAAATTGGCACAGGAAAAAATGATTAGAGTTCATATGGCTTATGGCCATTAATACAAAGCACAAAAAAAGCTCAGAAATAAAATAAATGAAAACATTATCCTGTTATAACAATAATCTTTACATTTATTTCTAAATATGTAAAGTTTCATCTACAGATATCCATGCAACTAAAACCATTCAATTTCAGTGATGTGCTACTTATTTCTAATGTATTTTATATTTATATATATATGAAAGCCATTTCCAAGTTCAGGGAGAAATGCTTTTCTCAGAACTATAGTTGCATGGCTCTTCAAGCCGAATGTAATCATACATTATTCCTTGAAAAGGGCTCAAGCTTCTTGCCTGTGTGAGGAAAATTGTGTTCTCTCCCTCAATCAGCCAACTATTCTGCACCACAATATTGAATAACCAATACAGCCCATGGATTCCATGCCTAGCTATAGAGTTGTCTCTCCCAATGAGTCCAGTAGAGAAGTGCGGAGCTTTAGCTTCAGAATCGTTGAATCGAACCTTAGCAGGATAAAAATATCTCGTTAGTCCTGATTTGAGTTACCGAGGCATAATCATACAATGTTTTTGATGATTACTGATACAGGGGCGGAACCAAGTTATGCCCCGATCTATTCTTTTGCCCAATAAATTAAAAATAAAAATATTTTTCCACCGTAAAAATTGAAGTTTGGTTCCGCCCCTGTTAGAGAAGATGATTTACTTGCAGTTCAGAGAGAGTAGCAGATGCTATTGCGACTCGCATCATGTATGATCCAGTTTGATTGACATGGTCGAGTTTGAATTTAATCTGCCAAGTGGTTGGTGAATAAGCGTTCTGGTCGTTTCTCCTGCGAGAAGGAAAGGGTCCAGTTTTACAAAATTGAAAAGTTGTTAGTTTTAAATATTTGTTGATATTATTATTATAATATGACTGCATAATTAAGGATATTCTTTTCATTAATTTCTTCCTATTTTTGTCTTATAGTTTCTGATATATAGGCTGAAATAATGAATCAGATTTAATGTCTCTAACAATTAAGAATGGGATAAGCTAGTTTAAAACCTTGGTGAAAACAACGCCTCGGCAAGGCAATGAAGTGGTAAAAATAATATGGGAATTTACTTGCATACCACATAAGTCTTATGTATTTACATTTCTAACACTTAAACTTTACTTTTTTTACATTTATACCTGTCAAATCTTTTATATCACATTAGAAATACCACCATTTTAACTTTTAAAAAGTGAAATACACCTCTTCATGCATAGGTAAGGTGGTATGTAAAGAGGTGAGGTGTAGATAGGAGCTGAGTGTGTGCATGTAAATATTCTGAAATATTACTGATCGTTCAACTTTTGGAAAGATATGTACACAGAGGGCAGGGGATTATAAAAGTGGAGAACAGAAAATTTAGGATAGCTCATACCTGGTTACCTGGGCAAAGAACCAATCCTTGGTGAAGTCACTGGTACCAACACTATAAATAAGATCACTGTCAGGATATAAATCAGCATATCTTTCCCAAAGTCCATATTGCCTAAATCTGGAATGAAAATAACACATATTACTTTAGTATTTTTTATCAATCAAAGAGTATAATATTATCAAAGAATAAACATAAGAATGTAGCCACCACATTTTGTCACAACATTCACCATTAGTACAACAAGTAGTGTCAAAATAATCCCATGACTATTTATATGGGGTCATTTTAGTCCCAATTTCTATGAAGTGTTAAATTAATCCTCAGACTCTTTAAATTGGGCCTGAAATAATCTTTATTTCAGCCTATATTGCAAGTGTATTTGGTTTAAAGTGACACTTTTATAGATTTTGGGACTAAAAAGTCCCCTTACAAAGAGTCAGCAGACTATTTTGAAAGTTTTCTCATGAACAATATTTAATATGTATATTCTGTGTGTTACCTATCAGGATGATTCAGATAAAGCCTGTTTACATAATCAGGTTTAGGATCTGGGACATAGAACTCAACAGCAGAGCGGTCAGGGTATCCGATCTCCCAAAGAGTAGGACCAGCTCTTGGAGGTTGATATACAAGATCACCAAGATCAATACTGCATCCTACATAAATCA